AAATTAATTAGCCAATAAATAACTAAGCTTTCACTAAATTGTGCCTTAAAAGGTAACTGTTTATAAAATTTAGTCTCATTTGCCTGCTAATATTAAAAAACACTGTCCTTATCACAAGCATTAAAATAATTTTCATGAAGAATCATTTCGATTCTCGCTATAAAATCCGGAGGTGTGTTATCGTTAAATTTGTCGAATGAGTAAAACAGCAACAAACATGTCTGTTCACCCCGTTTTCAATGTATTACGGGTAAATATTAAGTGAGATTTACTTCTACAAGTGTTCTGAATCTAATTATTTTCTTATTTTAGTACATAAATGTGAGAGACCTAATACAACTACACATTTCTAATAAATGTCCTGATTCTATCGGTTGACTAACATTTCTATGATAACAGAATACCTTGATATCTGTATAAACTCTACCAAAGGTAGTTAAATTAAAAACAACAGAATTCATGATAAAACAAGTGAATATTTCCCACTTTTCACGCGTTTACTTAATAGCATAGTGATGGTGTAGATCCAGAAATTATTTATACTATTATTAATTCACAGTAGAAAATTTAAAAATATAGAGCTTATGTTAATATGTCACACTTCATTAAAATTTCAATATACTTCGTAGGTTAAATATGCAACGCTGAATACTGACTAAAAGTCTCAACATTTGCTGTCTGCACGTGTTATCTTCAATTAAAGAATGGATCTAGTGCCCGTTCGTAGGTAGCAAATGTAAACCGGCGGAAAATGATAGTTCTTTTGTTTTGTCTAGGACTCCTTTACATAGTTCACATACAGTCGCTTTATGGACTGTATCCATAAATTCTAGCCACCTTGGCTGACTCTCTACAAAGGGTTAGAATATAACTATTCGCTTGAGTCAGTTCGCGATGCCTTATGACGATAATCTACCTTATAGATAATATCTTGTACGGTTTCAACTACTTTGGACTCCAATAAAAACGACTCCACGTCGTAATACCAGAGCTACAATAAAAACGTTAGTTACTAGCTGACAATCAATCGTTGTTTATGTGATTAGATGTTGATATGGAGTGAATTCATGCTTTGGTTTTGCTACAGACTGATTTAAGATGGTAAAACCTATAGCACTAACGTCATGTAAAAGCGAAAACTTTTCCAACATTCATCTTTTCGCAAATAAAGAATACAGTTCCTCTTGGCTTTTAAGTGATTCCGGAGACACTTTACAAAGGCTTATTGTATATTGTTCTTCAAGCTAATCACTGTCTATGGTTTGTGAGTTACAACGGTCAGGTTGGCTTATAGAGATGTTTCAACTATGTGTAATGAATAATGCTGATCGATGGTTAAAGACTTAATAATTTAATATAACCATCAGATCAAGTATTAATTTCTTTTCAAACTTTCTGCTTATCTTAGCAATCTTATGACTAAACAAGATGGATTAGTATGACTTAAAATTTGCCATTAAAGTAGATATATATTCTATAAGATCGGTGACTAAGAAATCTATGCAAACAACAAGACGTATTAACAGGACACTCTAACATTTGCATATTTTAAAATAATGAGTTCATACCAAGTTTGATCTGTAAATAACATGTTTTTGGATAGGTATACACACCTCAGTATTATGATAATAAAGGCAGGAAAAACTAAGACAGTATATTCTTTCTCAGTTTATTGACGGATCGTACGAGCATTTTGTCGTCTTTGAGGACATTGAACTTGCATGCGTACATGTAAACAGCTGTATATTTGTATTATTAAAATCCTTCATCACCTGTGAGAACGAAAGTTATGTTTAGTTTTTCTTTTATTACTGTTATATTAGGCCAAAATGGGTTGTGTAACTCCAGTTAATATGGTTGTAACTATACAATTACTAATAATTCACAAATTGTGGTTGACAACTACTGAATTTAATAGAATGATATTTTAATCTATTCCTGGTATTCTGTAATCGATTATCTGTTACAGCACATCGTAATGCAGAAAATACCATTATTTAAACAGTTATTCAAGTGCTTGTTAGAAAAATATATTACATCATAGAAATTGTTCCAAACATTTAAGATGTAAGTAGCCACTACAACTTGTTTACTGTATACCCATGATGGATCATGGGTTCAAACGATTACTTGTATTCACGGAAGAAATTGAATTTCTCAACCTCACATCTAGTAAATGCACTTTGAGGTTGTTTAAGATACTTTAAGTAACCATTATACTGGAATTTCGTGTCAGGTGTTAGAAATTGATGAAAATTGTCAATAAATATATACCATCAAATTCGTGGCTCATAAATGTACGGTTGTGTACATAGTTATCTTTGTAATATGTGGTGATCTATTCACGATTTCCTTGAACTGTCGAAAATAGTGATGTTTAATTGAACTAATAAAGGAATGAATGAGCTATTAATTCACGAGTTGATTCATTCCATCCTAAAACAATTGAATATATATTGTATTCAGCAAAATATTTCGCTTATGTGTACATACTTCTTTATGACTAATTCTCTCATTATTTCATTGGCATCACGTGCTTGAACGCACTAGATTTATCTGTATATTGCTTTTATAATATTTGCCTAAGTAAGCTGGTACATATTACAATATCAAAAGGGCTATTATGATATGCAATATGTTTGATTATTTCCAAACGTTGAATTGGTAAAGTAACTGTCATCTCACTGATAACAGAAAGATTTCCAGGATTTCACAGCGCATGTATATTTATGATAATAATAATAATTTAGAGAAAAAACATAGTTACTCAAAAGACAGCTGGATTTTTAAGTTACAGTTTTGATTATTTCCACAGAAAATTATCATTTTAGTTCTCATTGCTAATTCCCACCATTTTCCTTAACATAACTAAGTATGTCATTCTTTGCTACTGCATCCTATTTGTTTTATGACTGAAATATTTAATTATGTCTATCAGTTGACATTTAACGCTAGGTACAATTTTTAACGATATACTATGTCATTATCTGCTTCATGTTCTATTCAGAAAGATTTAGAAGGAGAAAAAAGTGCCGACGAACCGGGATGAAGGTCACTTCATCAAGATGCCAAAGAAGATCCGAACAAATGTAAAACCTACAGAGGTATCACACTATTATCAGTACCGGCAAAGGTTTTCAACCGAATTTTGCTAAATTGGATGAAAGATTCAGCGGACGTCCAGCTCCGAGATCAGCAGAATGGATTCCGTAAGGATAGGTCGTGCACAGACCAAATCGAGACACTAGATCATCGTTAAACAATCAACTGAATGGAACTCATCGTTGTAGATCAGAAGGATGAATAGAAACTAAAAACAACTGGAAAGGGTCACGCAGAATAGAGTACGATAGGTAATCCTGGTCAACGGTCTATGGTCCTTTACGAGGAGGGTGACGTGCATAAGTAAGTACTATGTCATAATTTACTATTAAATTAATTTACTGACTTTTGGTTTTTAACTTTTATGTTACTACTTTCATGAACTATTAAAATTATATTTCCAGAGTTGTTTGCACTAGGAAAACTATTCTATTTCATTGTGATTATTGACTCATATTGCCTTGATTGGTTTAACATTTTCGTATAAATATTCATGTATATTAGAGTAAAGCCTGATGACGATCTAATTGAAAACAATTGTTCGCTTATATGTGTTGTTCTAATTTTCACAATGGGAATCTTTAATATACAAAAAATTTAATTTATGATTACAATAATTGCACTATTCTACTGAATAATTCTCTGAAATATTACCTTTCAACTCAGTAAAGTTTAGATATTAATATAAAATTTTAAAACAATTGTGTTATGTTTCGATAATGATATCAGAAAACGAAGATTATCAGAACTATGTGATATATAAGCGCAATACATTTCGAACAATCTGGTCACACATATACTTGTTAAGAGCATTTGTATATAAAAATAAAAGGTCAACTAGACAGGAAACGGGGTAAGAGGAGATAAGGATAATGATAAGAGTAATAATAATAATAATGCGAACACAAAGCGAAACTAATCACTCTGGATAATAAGTCAATATTACCAGGGTAGGTTTAAGGTAAGAACAAACTGTTTTTGAACACATAAAGGGGGTTTGAATTTTCGTATGGCTAAGGCTTCAATAAACCTTAGTATACGCCCTTTTACACTTTTATACAGCACTACAAAAGCTGAATTTAGATCAATCTTGTGACCTGTTTCAACTATATGTTTAGCAATAGAGGATGATGGATGTTTATCCTCTGCTCTTATTGGGTCACTTGATTGTATTTGTTTCTGAAGCCATTTGGGTACATGTTCACTCACCCTAATGTTTAGATCACGATTACTCCTCCTTATGTATGTATCTTCGTCTTCTAATATCATTATCGAAATTTATCAAAGGGACTAATTGTTTTAAATTGTGTTATGCCTCGATAAGCATAATGAATGGTAACTTTTGAGATCAATTATGGACCAATACTATGCGTATATTGTTAAATAACTAAACTGTTCATATTGGTGTCCCTCTTATAATAAGCTTATTTTGATCTATGAACTACTATTATACAATTTACCATTCTTGAATTATGCCCTGTCTATTAATCACTACCTTCCACATTCAGAGCCACTTTTGGCCAAATCTTGTTCAAATGTTGTTTTCTATATATGGTACATTGTGGTCTGTTTGATTGATATATAAACTTAGTGTGTTTGAAATATAATGATTCATATCACAGAGGCTCAGATTGGTGTTCTGGAATCAACTGACTAGGTTAGTCAGGAATCAGGATCGATAAGTATTCTAGACTGTTTGTACGGGTTTTACGCGTCATTGATCATTGCTCTCTCATTGGCGGTATCATTACTTTATACATTAACAGAGCACACAGGCCACAAATTAAAACAAATTGATATTAAATATTTTTCTATATTTAAAACAAAATACAAATAAATGATTAAATTAAAATCTTATTTTACATATAACTAAAAAATATTAAATATTCTTAAAAAATAATTTGTCTACACTCATATATAGTTTATCCATAATTTTATGATACTACTGTGTTATTTGTTTCAAATCTGAAATTAAAAAAATAACAAAAACAAACAACAAACTTAAGAATTACAAAACAGAGTTTCTAAATGAAAAAACAAAAAAAGAATGATCAATCATTAAACAAGAAATAAAAAAAAAACTTTTTACGGGAAATTTGATTGTAAAGTGTGATCGATAAACGAACTCGTCAATGATAAAGTGAGACGCCAACCAACTTTCTTTGACTTTGTATGACTATGTCTTGTTTATTTATCAATCACAATTTTATGTTCATGATAAAATCATATTTGCTATGTTGACTCATTTTCCCTATCCTCTAGTTACTGTTCAGTATGTTATTTATGTCTCTGTTTTTCTCTGTGTTAATAGACTGTACTGTTTGTTTTGTACACTAATGGTATCAATTTATATTTTTAAGAAACAGATAAAGTTTATCAAGCCAAATAGTTTACTTGTTCTGACTTTGGCTAAACCAAGACTCTGTGTTCGACAGTCTAGAGAATAGCTTAGAGTTACACCTGTAGGAAATTGCTTCCTACATTGGAATTAAAAACTGATTGTCACTATGTAAATGTTAGTTTTTTTTATTTATTTAATGAACATTATTTGTCGAGAATTTTATGAGTAATTTTTTAAATACTATTTAAAAATTCGTTGTTTTTTTTAATGGTTTAACATGATTTTAATAACCAATCATACTATTCCACAAAACATGATCTTGAATAACTTAAATAATTGAATTCATGAAACAATTTAAGCTAAACCTTCATAGAAAACCTGTATGCACTAGACGATCATTTCATCCTAGTATGAGACTCTTCATTAGTGAACACTTAAGATCCCGTTTAAATCGATTCATAAACATTCAACCATTAAATTACTAAAATCTCCACAAACGCCCTATTCTGATATTAAAAAAATTTATCTAGGCGTTACAAGTAAATCAACTTCAATGAAATTTATTTCTCTCGTTGAAATCATGAGTCAATTGAAGCTAGACCACCACGGAAAACCTGGAAGCACTGGACGGCCGTTTCATCCTAGTATTTCTGTTATCATTAACTAAAATCTTGATAGAGTATAATCTCACAATTTCAGTGTATTTTCAGTGTAAAATGAAAGTGTTTCTCAATTTACAGTTATATTTTGTATCAGTTAATAAGTATTATTATTATTATTATTAAATATATATTACTTACCACTGTTATTTCCAGTGTATTTGTCAAAGTGATGAAATGAATGTCATGTTTTATTCTAATCCATATATCTGTTAAATGTATCCTCTCTAGAAGAAAACAATAAATTGAAATTAGATTATTTAACCATTGGAAATTTGTAACTTTTTAATTCAAACTAAATAAGATTTATTGGTGAGACTATAATTTATGGACGACCTTTGAGCAACGCTAGGCTAACCTTGAGAGTGTCCACCTAAATACTAGGGCTAACTGAGGGTTATAAAGCAGTTTGAAGAATAAGGATTATAATTTACAGTTGATGGTTTAGGTTAGGAATTAGATTTAGGGTTTTCATCACGAACTGACATCAGTTATAATGTCATAATTCTATTTAGCCAAATGGGTGAATGAATTTCGCGCCAAAATCTAAGACTTGTTGACGTAAATCTGATTGGTTCGTCCATAAATTATCATCTCGCCGATTTATTAATGACACTATTCAATAAATCATAAATTTATTAGTGTAACATATAATAAATCATCTATTATTAAATAATCTTTATCGATTTGGAACAAGCTAGTTGACATGGTAAATACTAAAGACGGAATAAATAAATAAAATAAAAAACAAGAAACAATTTCAATCATATGCTTAAAAGTTACTAAATTACAGAACTCATTACAGAATTTCTATGTTATTAGTTACAATAATTTTATCTATGATACTAATATACTTTGTTTGTTTGTTTTGTTTTTCACAATAAGCATTTTACTGCATAATAAAGAGTACCAAGAAAAAAAATTATACCATCAATTCAACTTACTCGCGAACTATTTTCAAATTAGGACGTTGTGGAATAGAGTATGAATATGTGTTCCCATTACTAGAAACAGAACTAAAAAAATCGTAAAAACAGAAGAAGAAAATAAAAAAATAATCAATGAATTATTGCTTGATAAACAGAAATATCAAATAAGTAAAACAGCCGGTACCGTACATAGTTGTATAGTAAAAGATACTCCGAAAAAGACGTTTAAAGGAATTATAAATACTGAAACATGATACCAAAATATAACCGCAAATAAAAACACAATATAAACTAACAACAATGTACCAATAAACGTTTCAACAAATTCTATTTCAATACAATTAAACGAAAGCAGAAAACATATCAATCAAACAATCAGACACAGTAACATTAAGACTTAACTAAAAACACTACGATAATTATCATAATTTAATACATACCAATAAATGCATTGCATCATTGAAACTAATTCACTACTGTCAATCTGAGACACAGAGACATGCATTCCAAAACATAATCTGATATCCAAAACAATCGAGAAATTCTATTTTCTAATATTCTTAAATAACACCAATTGAAGTAAAACTAACAGAACTACCACAATAAATGACAAAGGTATCACTGACATGTTCATCAAACAAATCAATAAGGTCATGAGCAACAATAAACGATTCTCAATAGGATACAGGAGAAATCAGTTCACAAAACCGTGAATTTCAAGTCATACAATCACAAAACTAACATCCACAACAGATCCCACAAACTACATCATTTCTTGTTCAAAAGGAAACAATAAAATCCAAACCATATAAAGAGAACAGAATGCAAACACATTGCACACAAATAATATATAGGTCGAAATTTAGTACTACAAATCTTCCGTGTTTATATGCGCATGATACCACTCACCTAGGTACTGGTAAATCACCCATTAAATTCCTTGAGTATGGAGAAGTGTTTCGTGGTTCAAATCCGTCTCGAATAGTTCTGTATTGAGAAATATTTAAAAACACAACAATATAAATCATTTGAGGAAATCATTGTGTCTAAATTCATTAAAAACGAATAACTGGTTTAAGTACGTGTTTATATTCGGCTAACCCGTCGATAATATTTTGTGTGTTTTCGTGAACCCATAGTGGTTGTAGGAGTTTGTTGAAATATTCAATTAATCGAAACCATCACAGTTTATTTTAGAATTCAGCATAAAGTCACTTTTATAATGTCCTGTATTTGTATGTAGTACTGATTGTTCGATGGAAAATTACTGACATATTGAAAATTTTGATTTCGCAGAAACTTTTTATAATTTACTCGGAATTTTAAATCGCATTATCTCAATTCCAAACGTCATGTATTATATAGATATTATAACACTCACCTACTTGCTGGTAAAGCACTCTTGAAACGGTTTGCGTGTATATGCTCACTAGTGTGTGCATGTTTTTCGGATGGAAAAGTTACGTGGAATTGAAGTAGGATCATATTCTTAGCTATAGTATACAAATCATTGTCATTAAACACTTGAAGTGTAAGGTATGTTTTCATAACTAGGAAAAGCTGAGAAATAATATTTTTTACATATTTTTAAAGATACCGTAACAACTTTCACTTTAAAAGGATGTATTTAAGCATTCTGATCAAATCACATGACCACTTAGAAAGTGATTCTATGGACAGAATAAAAAAACAACTAATATTTGATTTCCACTATCCCAAGAGCACAAAGTCAATCCTTGTCCTCAAAGTATATCATCATCGTACCAAACAACATTCTATAAATCTTAAGAGTTTATTAACTGGCAATTTCAGATGTTGTGGTCTCAGTATGAGTGACGCAGACAAATATCGTTAATGGCTATCTAATACACGGACGTGACAGAAAAGTAGGTCAAAGGCGGCAAAGAATAACGGATATGAGAATGGCTTCTAACATACCATTAAGAGGATCTGTGTGACCTAACTCCATTTAACCAAGCGTTAATCAATATTTATAGTCAGCGAAAACAAGTTACAGACATGTGATGAGCAAGACCACAAATGCACATACATACGCGTATATAAAAACAGTGAGGTTGATATTGATAATAAGCGACATGGTAGAAATGTGGTTAGAGAAGAATGAGTAGATTGATTTGTCAAGAGGCTAGAATAACCATTGTGATCTTGACATAATACCAGCCCCTACACCATAAAAGATTTCTGATGTGACATTATTCATCAGTTAGATGTATAATTTTCCAGTAAATCATCAGTGCTCTAATCTCTTAATTTTTTAAGTGTTTTTAATGCATAATATTTAATCATTAGTCATTCTTTATTGTGTTTAACTGAAATGTTACACACAATGGCAGTTAGCTGACTAAAATAAAACAACTGCAAATAATAAACTTGAAATAAATGATAATGGTTAAATCACAAACTGAAAAGCAAAACCACCGATCGTATAAATCATGTATTATTAAAGAAAATAAGCAGAAGTGGTCAAATATTCTCAGACAAATATATTAGTCTATATTTTGTAATTTAAACGATAGGAATTGAGAGTTTCACCTTAAATTTACTCTGAAATTTTTCAATCATTTTGTTTACAAACTTCTCTATTAAAACAGTTATTATTTGATGAAACCAACTAAACTGTGACCGCCTGGCAAGAATACAGATTTTGCAACTAACTTATTGACAAGTGAATGAATATGCATTTATGTATCTTGAAAATGACTAGTTTTATTATGATAAAACTATTTAAGCATAATTTGTATTTTATACCAGAACAACCTGTATCACCGACATATGATTCGTTATTAAATGGCCAGAGAAAACGTTTCTTTGATCTCTTGATTCTGTAGTTTGTCTTGCAATACCATGATTTTACACAACAGCTTTGGATAACAGTATGACAACAACCTATATATGAGTATGACGAATAATAATCATCTGCTCACTAGTAACTGACTTCAAGAGGCATATCCTGAAGTTCTAGTGAGAAGCCGTAACCAGTGGAGTTCAACCAGGTCTGTTGTGAGATATCAGCTCACTGAAGACAATGGTGTACGGTAGCACAATTTCATGGATTAGTTGAAGTTAGACATTAACACCATTGAATACCAGCTCAGTGGTCTAACGGTTAAGCTCTCGTGCGCCGGACTGATAGGTTCCGGGTTCGAATCTCCCAGGGGGTGGGATCGTGGATACGCACTGCTGAGGAGTGCCGTACTGGGACGAAACGTCCGTCCAGTACTTCCAGGCTTTCTATGGTGATCTAGCTTCAATTGACTCATGATTTCAACTATTGAAATGATAGACTCAAACGTTTGACATTATTCAACCATCTGATGAAACGTGAACGTCTCCAGGTCAGTAGTAAAATTATTCAAGTTATTCTCATTCAGATTTTGTTTATACTGTCTAAGTTTATTGACTTGAATAGAAATGTGATTTTAAACGAATATAAACAAGTGCATCATGTAGTTATTGATAGACTTGGCATACGTAAATATTCATTGTAACCTATGTTTAGACACTAGAAGCTCGCCTGTAGTCTACTCCAGTCACTTTCTTTTGATTATACTAGGAAAATAAGTTGGGTAAATAATTTACAACAATCATATTTAAATTTAATCGCAAAATACTATGTGAATCTCAATAACGAATAGAACATTCTCTGAAAAAAATGTAAATTTAAAAAGTTGTTTCAATCAAATGGAATATTTATTGAAAAGCAATTTTTATAAACCATTATTATTTGTGCAGATATTATATTACTGACCTAGGTTCTGACACATTATTCATTAAATTATTTGAACGATTTAATTTCACAGGAATATAGTGAGGTTCATAAGTTTCCCGATTGTGTCTGTAGTGAAATGAAAAGAAAGGAACAAACCGAAATATAATGACACAAAATAACTAACTGTTATAATCACATACATAATGTAGACAGTTGGATAGCAAAAAGAGGAACGAAAAATGAGAACAAGAGCACTAGATTAATCATGACCACATTCTATAAGAAAAAGTTTATATAAACCAAATTTTAAAAAAAAATAACTAGAAAGGTAGCTACAAATAACATGTTATTAAACAATAAAAAAAAAGAACTTAAATCGATAAACCACATATAAGACATTCACTACAAGTCAAATGAGTAAGCTTTGGTGGCGTAATTCCTGAAAATGAAATGATATCAACATAGTAAGAGAATATAATAATAAACATACTTTGCAATTGCTGTAATTACTAGACAAACGATTTCTTAAAATAAGTAAAATCTGTGGTTTGTACCATTCAAGTGAGAAAATAGTTTTTGATGTAGATGATGAGTTATTCCATCTTTTATAGCACATCAACAACTTAAACCGACATTCTCAGTTACGTGTTGATTTTACTCCCATTTTTTATGAATCAACAAATATTAAAAATGGTAAAAACATATTAAATTGTTAGCAAGAAGTTGTGGAGATCGTTGAGTTGCATTGAAATCATTAACCTATCAATGATAGACCATCATTGAAAACTTTAAAGAACCTAAAGGCCGTTTCATCCAAACAGGAAACGCTTCATGGATACACACCCACGAGCCTGGGTGGGGAAATCGATTACAGGATCTCTAGACTCACACACAACCGTTTAACCTCTGGGCCAATTAGTTGACATCCATCACATCCCCATTAGTGGCTAGCTTCGACGTGAAATTTCCGGAGTTCTAGTGGAGAGTGGTGATCCATGGAGTTGATGCGTCGGTTGTGAAACGGTGAGGTGTCTAGTACTATCTCAAGTCCATATTGGGTTGTCCTAACTGCCAACAGACCAATTTATTTATTCTTCTTGAGTTTCATTTTAACCTTGTAAATTATTCGCTTACAAACCATGACTACTTTTATATGAGCGTATGTGTGTATCCCTCACGCTATTCATCACAAGTACTTGGCGTTTCTTTATCTGGCTATAAATACTGAGTCAGGTTTAATGAAACCGAGTTTGCACACTTGCGTTCTATGATCTGCTTCTACGCTTCGTTTCGCCGCTTGTTTGCCTGAATCAACGAGTGTATGACAAATATTTGTATTCGAAATTCATTCTCGTATTTAACTTATTTTAGCCTGTCATTCACTAACGCAAAGTAAGTCGATAGTAAGATACGAGGGTTGACTGCATGTAGATTTTGGTAGGATCATCAAACGATTAAACGAAGTCCGCTATACGAACCACAAAGACAGTCTCCCACTGAAGACGGTGGAAAATGGCCGCGTACTATCGCATATCCATTGAAGCTAGACATAAAAACCGTTGGATGCCGTTTCAATGGTCCAGAAGTTAGACGTTCGAGCGCGAGCCTAAGGGTCCTGTGTTCAGTTTTCGCATACAGGTTCGTGGATGTTGAGGCTTCTCATACTAAGACAAAACGGCACTTCGGTTCTTTGAAGTTTCCAATGATGGTCTAACATTGATTGGTTCATGGTATTAACGAAATACAGTGATTATTACGTAATCAATCATGCCCTATCTTATGAAAAAGAAAATCACACTAAATCAATACAAAATATATTATTATTTTGAATAAATTTCGGATCAAAGTAAAACCATTGCTATACTTAATAAGACACCATACTGACTATGAATCAAACATTAGACTAAACAATTGTCCGATTACATTGAAAATGAAACTAATACTGGACAGAACTTACAGAGTGAAAAATGTGACCCCATCCGTTCATCGTTTTCTAACAACTTCTTATTCTTTCGAAGCGGATTAGATTTTCAAAACTCAGTAAATCCATGGTTTTAACAGTGGTGATAAGAAAATAATTTTAATATACTTTTCACAAGTAATACGGTCAAACCACTTCTCTAACTCATCAACAGCAAAAGCGATTAGAAGACTAGGAACAATAATTAACGGAAATATCGTCTGTAAACTATTATTACTCTTAAACTGGTAATTTATCAGATGAAGTAAATGCAGCTTTGAAGTTTGTATTCAAGCTTTATCTCAGCTTAAAATTCAATACAGTTCCCAATGTTCATTATGGAAGAAATAAAGAGCTGTTTATAATTACTTTGGCTAAACCGAATATGAGTTCAAAGGCTGATGTTCATCTCAACGAATGGAGTTCAAGCAAACTTCATTTTCTTAAGACAATCACTTTTAAAAGTAATCTGGGAGTTTTTTCCAGTTTTAGCATTTGTTTTAGCTGTCCAAGGTTATCTAATAAATCTGATAGTAACTATGTTGCTCATTTGTATAAGATGAATGGCGAATCCAGGAGGTTACATATTGTTTCAATATATAAAGTTCACTTCAACTGTAATATATTTATATCTAATGCAAACAAGGTTTATCAAATGCATAACAAGAATAATTATTATTTCATTACTATGTGAGAGGAAAACTCAAACAGATTATTAAGCTAAAGCATGATGTTGAACTGGTGAAACGATGAAAAACACGAATATTGAAAAAGATTCTGTTGTCAAATTAACTCATTAGACATTATGTCTGAAAGAAGAATATAGTGTATCCATGGTACTTCAGAGACCTTTGACAGTTTAGAAATAATTACCTCAATATGTATCACTTGTAAATAAGTAATCAAATAGGAGTGGAATCAATGCATAAATGAGAGTATTGATAAAATTGTTAATGCGCTACGGAAGATGAAATAAAACACTCGACAGTGTTCTACTATCACCTTTAGAACAACAGTCTTCCCGTTCCGATTCTCTGTGAATTTAAGACTATTTCATCTATTTAAAAACAGATTTGACATAAATGACACAATCCGCAAATTAATATTACAATATTTCCTTATCTATGCAAACATTATACCACTCACTGAACGTCCGGCAAATCTCCCATTAAATTATTTGAATGACTGGCATATGGCGATAAGCGGCGCGGTTCATGTGCAGTATGAGTGCTTCTAAATTAAAAGTTATTTAAAAGATGCAACTTTAAAATGAATTATTCGAGAAAGTTGTTGCAAGTTACTCGACTTGAAGCATAGGTCCCGACCGTTGTTGCTACCTTGACGTGGTGGTCGGGCTTGCCTATCGTGATGAAGCAACCGAGCTATACTGGCTGGAACAACCGTTCCTCAAGGTCCTACCATGTCAGACAGGTCGGTTGAACAGCGGTAAGACTAAAAGCAACAAACCCAAGGTCCGAAGGCGAAGTCGTACTGCTGACTGTACAGAGGTGTGACAGCAGTAAGGTGTTTCCTTCAGACAACCAGCATGACAGCGATGCTGCCTTCCCACAAGGAGGAGTGGGGTTAGAAAAGGTCGACCCTAAAAATGCACACCTCACCTTACCTCACGGATTTCCGTCTCAGGCGGTAAGGCCCTTTGAAGAACGGAGCTAACACGTCAAATACCTCCCACGAAAAGGCCGTGCGCGACCGGCCTCAAGCAGTTGTCCCTTGGGCACTGCGGTCACGCTCTCAGGTCACTGAGACCACCTCTAATCCAATTTCCTTTTCAGGTACCTCCAGAAGAACCATTCTTCGGTGTGGGCAACCGGGAAGCGATAACCGCCCTCATACCTCTAACAGCACTCGAGACCACTGTATTCATAATCAGCCTTCCTCTTCAATTCCTATTATTCCTCCTACATCGACTTTCAACTCTAAACTTCCTCTTCCGGCTTCCTCCTCAAGTATCACCATAGCCAACGATTCTAGTGCTCAAAACTCTGTCCCAGGTCTACTGAAACCTCGCTCCAAACTACACATTGGAGCCTTCAACGTACGCACTCTATGTCAAATCGGTCAGCAGGCTTCCTTGGCTAAAACCCTAGAGTCTCTTTCCATTGATGTATGCCGTGTCTCCGAAACACGCATACAGGATTCCAATGTGGTCATTCACTTGACCTCACCTCAGCAACACGGAGAGCCAACGAGACACACCCTCCGTGTATCTGGTGACCCGATGGCCAGTTCTCGTGGACTGGCAGGTGTAGGCATAGCACTAAGCATGAGGGCGGAACAAGCACCGCTAGAGTGGATCCCCATCAACAGTCGTCTATGTGCTGTTCGGTTAAACGGCTCCGTAAGAACTCGGAAGGATAGGGATACACGTCGTTGCCTTTTCGTCGTTTCTGCCTACGCTCCCACTGACTGCAGCTCAGATGATGTGAAAGATGAATTTTACAGAAAGCTTTCTGAACTTCTTCGGAAAGCTAAACGCTCAGACATAGTACTCATAGGAGGTGACTTTAATGCTCAGATAGGTAGCTTAAACCAAACAGAAAGGCATTTAGGTGGATATTTTAGCATTCCGGCACAGCGAACAGATAATGGTGACCGTCTGCTGCAACTGTGCTCAGACAATCGTTTATTTTTAGCAAACACAAATTTTAAGCATAAGGAGAGACATCTTCTAACATGGCGACATGGAGACCATCAGTCATCGTTGGAGAGGGTCGGTAGAAGATTGTCGCTCATTCTGGAGTACCTGCTTGGACTCCGACCACGCTCTAATACGGGCACGCATCTGCTTGCGCCTCACTGGACGCAAAAAAGCCACAGTAAAAAGACCCATTCGAACCGAACTGAGTAGCGAGGAAACCAAAAGTAGGTTCCAGGAACAACTGAGGTCACGATTAGGTAGTTCTGAAAACGAGGTTGACTCAGTTGTTGCTTGGAAAGCCAGACAAACAGCTGTGGTAACAGCAGTGACATCTATCAGTGATTTAAACCACAGGGTTACAAAGAACCAATGGATTTCTTCAAAGTCTATCACACTGATGGATTCTCGCAAACTCGTCCCATCAGGTTCCGAACATGATGAAGAGCGACAACAAATCAGATCTAGGTTAAGAAAAAGTCTAAGAAACGACCGCGAGCAGTGGTGGGCAATGAAAGCAAAAGAGATGGAAAAGGCGGCGACTATAGGGAACACAAGACAGCTTTACAGACTAATAAAAGAAACTGGAATTAATAAGTCAAGTGTAAGTGAGATTATATCGGAAAAAGACGATACACTCATCTGCTCCCAGTCCAGACGTTTAGAACGATGGGCGGAACATTTTACAGAACAGTTCAGCTGGCCTTCAGCTACTCTACAACTACCCTCCATTCCCAGACAGTGTGAATGGAACATTGAAGTAGGTCCCCCAACTCTAGCAGAAGTTCAAAAGGCTATAGTTAATCTGAAGCGAGGAAGGGCAGCTGGTCCAGATGGACTGGCTCCAGAGGTCTTTAAGGATGGTGGTCCAATTTTAGCGATTAGGTTGACTAATATTTTAGCTAAGATCTGGGAGTTAGACGTTATCCCATCTAACTGGTCACAATCACTTATCGTCCCAATATATAAGAGAGGGTCAAAATCATCCTGTGACAACCACAGAGGGATTAGTTTAACTAATATAATATCTAAAATACTAGCTTCGATAATTATCAGACGCCTAACTAAGACTCGTGAACTGCAAACACGAGAGACTCAAGCTGGCTTCAGACCTGGTCGTGGCTGCATCGACCACATATTCACCATTCGTCAGGTTCTAGAACACAGGCATACCTATCGGCGTCCGACGATGGTGGTCTTTCTTGACTTAAAAGCAGCGTTTGACTCTGTAGACCGCGAGACTCTGTGGCAGTGTCTGTCGTTGAAAGGCGTACCCCAGAAGTACATAAACCTTGTGAAGGCTCTTTACTCGAACACTACTAGTCGAGTCAGAGCTCATGGCGAACTGTCATCTACTTTTGCAACCTCAAGTGGTGTCCGTCAAGGCCGTCCACCTTACCTATGTTTGTATAACTTCATCATAGATCTACTGATGGAAATAACTTTCTCGTCGACTGAGTTCTCGGGTATTGATCTCCATCCAGGAGGTCCACTTATAGACTCAGAATACGCAGATGACATAGTCCTGTTTGGTGAAGACGCTGACAAAATACAGAGTCTTCTGGTAGCACTGAGCAACAATGCCAGAATGTTTGGAATGCGCTTCTCTCCCTCTAAATGCAAGTTGTTGCTTCAGGACTGGTCTGCGTCAACACCTGAACTAAGGATAGGGAGTGAAGTAGTCGAACGCGTTGGCAACTTCACTTATCTTGGAAGTCTGATCAGCCCTAATGGGTTGGTATCTGACGAAATCTCAGCACGGATTCGAAAAGCTCGATTGGCTTTTGCCAACTTGCGTCACCTTTGGCGAAGGCGAGATATCCGTCTATCAATAAAAGGACGAGTATACTGCGCGGCAGTCCGTTCTGTTTTACTTTACGGCAGCGAAACATGGCCATTAAGAGTAGAAGACACTCGTAAGCTATTAGTATTTGACCACAGATGCCTTAGAAATATTGCTGGCATCTGCTGGGATCACCGGGTAAGTAATAGTGAGGTTAGACGCAGGGTATTAGGGAATGATGGTAAATCAGTTGGTGAGGTTATGAATCTTCATCGACTGAGATGGTTGGGCCACGTGTAACGTATGCCTGAACACCGACTACCACGACGTGCAATGCTATCCGGTATTGGAGATGGTTGGAAGAAAGTTAGGGGCGGCCAAACCAAAACGTGGCATCAGTGCTTGAAGACACTAACTTCTAGTCTGAGCCATGTTGGTAGATGCAGACTACTTGGTTGGGGTCCGCGTGACTACCGTAACCGATGGTTGGAGACTCTTGGTGACATGGCTCAGAATCGATCACAATGGCGTCGGTGTATACACTCCCTGTCTTCCCTTAAACTAAGAGATTAAAATCGCTTCATATCTTTCCTTCTACGAACCAATTCTTTCTTCTTGTACTATATCTCTATATGCAATCTTTCTCTTATATATTACCACCTTTGACCTAACCACTCCTATGAATCCGGTGTTCATCTCGTTGTGCTGATGCGGTATGGCAACCTGGACCGATGCACATATGTGCCTGGTCCTACGTTGTAGCTGACTGACTGACTGACTGAAGTATAGGACTAAAAATAGTACGAATTAAGACATGTAGTCCACACAAAGAACAAGGGGTATCGAGAAACCTTTCAACACAATCTGACAAAAGACAGAAACATATCAATCAAACAATCAGACACAGTAACATTAAGACTTAACTAAAAACACTACGATAATTATCATAATTTAATACATACCAATAAATGCATTGCATCATTGAAACTAATTCACTACTGTCAATCTGAGACACAGAGACATGCATTCCAAAACATAATCTGATATCCAAAACAATCGAGAAATTCTATTTTCTAATATTCTTAAATAACACCAATTGAAGTAAAACTAACAGAACTACCACAATAAATGACAAAGGTATCACTGACATGTTCATCAAACAAATCAATAAGGTCATGAGCAACAATAAACGATTCTCAATAGGATACAGGAGAAATCAGTTCACAAAACCGTGAATTTCAAGTCATACAATCACAAAACTAACATCCACAACAGATCCCACAAACTACATCATTTCTTGTTCAAAAGGAAACAATAAAATCCAAACCATATAAAGAGAACAGAATGCAAACACATTGCACACAAATAATATATAGGTCGAAATTTAGTACTACAAATCTTCCGTGTTTATATGCGCATGATACCACTCACCTAGGTACTGGTAAATCACCCATTAAATTCCTTGAGTATGGAGAAGTGTTTCGTGGTTCAAATCCGTCTCGAATAGTTCTGTATTGAGAAATATTTAAAAACACAACAATATAAATCATTTGAGGAAATCATTGTGTCTAAATTCATTAAAAACGAATAACTGGTTTAAGTACGTGTTTATATTCGGCTAACCCGTCGATAATATTTTGTGTGTTTTCGTGAACCCATAGTGGTTGTAGGAGTTTGTTGAAATATTCAATTAATCGAAACTATCACACTTTACTTAACACTTCAGCATAGTCACTTTTATAATGTGCTATGTTTTTATGTAGTACTGATTGTTTGATTGAAAATTACTGACATATTGAAAAGTATGATGTTGGAGAGACATTATAGCACTCACCTTGTTGTTGGTAAATCACCCATTAAATTCCTTGAGTATGGAGAAGTGTTTCGTGGTTCAAATCCGTCTCGAATAGTTCTGTATTGAGAAATATTTAAAAACACAACAATATAAATCATTTGAGGAAATCATTGTGTCTAAATTCATTAAAAACGAATAACTGGTTTAAGTACGTGTTTATATTCGGCTAACCCGTCGATAATATTTTGTGTGTTTTCGTGAACCCATAGTGGTTGTAGGAGTTTGTTGAAATATTCAATTAATCGAAACTATCACACTTTACTTAACACTTCAGCATAGTCACTTTTATAATGTGCTATGTTTTTATGTAGTACTGATTGTTTGATTGAAAATTACTGACATATTGAAAAGTATGATGTTGGAGAGACATTATAGCACTCACCTTGTTGTTGGTAAATCACCCATTAAATTCTTTGCGTATGGAGAGGCGTTTCGTGGCTCAAATCCGTCTCGAATATTTCTACTTTTATAAGTAATTAAAAAATGTTTTCAAAATTAATCACATGGTGAATTTATTATATCTCAAGTAATTATGAGTTAACTGGTTTAATGTTCTTATGCAATGAAATATCATGCACCTTTTTATCCTCAATTACCGTCATTTTCCTAACAACGTGAATCAATATTGTCGTTCCAATTACTAATTATTATTTTACTGGAGATCTATATGATGTTGAAGTTATGCCCAAATTTAGTGTGTGATGCAATACCTATATTTTAGGGAAACGTATTCTTATATCATGTATTTTCTTTCTCTCTTTTGTTCACTAAGAGAATAAACTACATATTATTTGATAGGACAAAGCCTTTGACATGTCAGCTAGTTGAGATACCAATTCTGTTTGGCCTTGTATCTGCCTATTTATGTTTTTACCCATTTTATTTTAGTCGAGTTCTTTTCATTTTCATATGTAGAATGTGTTACTGATTGTAATGAAAACTACTACGAATACCTCAGGTAAACCAATATTTGTTAAATTTTAATCTTTTTCAGTCAGTACAATCACAATAACTTACTTACTGGTTAGCGTTTTTTAGAGAGTTAGTTAGTTTTCTACGGGTTGGGGTTGCTAACCCCATGCCCAACCCTCCTTTATCCGGGCTTGGGATCGGCAGCAGCCCCCCCCTCCACAATAACATTTCCCATAATTCGTATTTCAACAAGACACTTGATGTTTTATTCTGATTTGTTATCTTTACTTTTAATTTGATAACCTCTCTCTGATGGAAGTCAGGCTTCATTACTATGCATTTAGGGTTGTTCTGTTGCTGTTTCCTCTTAGACTAATATCTTGCCTTATTCGTGAGTTTTACTGTTTTAGGGTCGGTGTCTAACCGTTGTGTGTCAGTAGCAGTATTGTCCTGTTCGTAATAACGTTGCATGTTAGGGAATCTATATCACTCCTAACCTGAATTACCATAGGCCTAACTGAGCTGATTTCAAGAATTAAAAAATGAGAAATAAATATTGTGGGGAAACAATGAACGAACAGACAGCTTTTTGCTAATCTGTTTCTAAAAATTCAATTCTGTTTGATAATTATCGAAACAAGAACTGATGGAGTGCTTTTACCTGTACGAATCGATTGGACGCGAGCGATCATAATCATTCCATTTTGAATACGACCTACAGTGGAATGATAAGAATAAAAAAATAGCTGGTTGTTCAACTCGTTGTATTAGGGAATAATCACTTTCTTTATCATAAATGTAAAAAAATGATTATAAGCAGTATATATTACTGAATAACTAAAACGTTGAGGTCTTCAATCTTAATTGATACTATAATTTATGCCAATCTCGTAGGTCTACTTGCACGAAAATGAAAGAACGATCAAATGTGTTGTATAAGTAAACAAAATGTTTGACAAAAACTACCCGTTAAAGTGAATCCGAAATTCATTTCTTTAGTACCTATGGATGCTATTTGTAATTTGGAAAACGTTACCACAAACCTGTCGGTAAGATTAAAGAAACACAGATTAATCGCCAATCACGATTTATCTCTAGGCTTTTCTTACAATAACTAAGGGATATAAAGAAACAGTATTTCATCTGAAATGAATTTACCATTGATCTTTATTTGTGGAAAATAACAGGTTGGGAAAAACAGTGACTAAGTTAATAAAAGCAGTTTTTATAATTAAAATAACTTTCAAAGCGTACATATTATATTTAGTGAAAATAAAAAAGTATTTTATGTTGCTCTGTGTTAATAATGTTTATATTGCCAAAATAATTGCAAAAATAACTGAATAGATCACTAATTTCACCACGTTGATAACGTACAGAAGGAATAATTGTTAGGATGCTGTTAGTGAAGATAATTTATTACCTTGCTTTATTTGACATGTCGTTGTACATATTTGACGGTTTCATACGATCATACGCATCCTACAACATTAGATAATGGTAGAAATTCAATATCAATGTATGATAGTGTGTACTTTTTCACTTGTTCATTGAATTCATATTTCAGGATACATTTTAAATATAGCTGTCCCAAAGTACAGATAATCGGATATATACAGAAGTAGTATAAAAGGTATAAATGACTACAGATTATAATGAGTTGCATAATATGTTGATTTACTCAATTCACCGGCATTGTACGAATATATCCTGATCACTAATGAAACGCACTTATTCGGTCACTATTTATCTCAAATAAATATAAGATTTCTATGCAAACAACAAAGATAATATTGACTCTGAAACTGAACAGCTCAAAGAGATATTCAAGAGCACTTAGTGAGAGTATTTATTTATTTATTTAAAATACCAGTTTCCTAAGGTAACCCAAACAAAATCATTCATAAGAATATTTACTGTTCTAAAATGAATGTCGTCTATTTTCTCAATAGTCCAAGTTGTTGAATTTTTAATTACGATTACGATTCATTTTTTCTTTTATTTCATGAGCCTTGTTCTGTCGTCTCCCAAACCGATTACTTCACATTGTTTAATAACTACAGATTCTGTATAAACTGGTGAATTAAATCTATGAATAAGAAAATTAAGTATTGGATATTTCAATATTACTGACTCTTGTGTTGTAAGAAATTGTTTGCCTACCTGTATTAAATTTGGTTTGGATTCGACCTAGGACACTATCTTATAGTAATAATCTGTATTTCTATCAAATGCAATTCAGGATCCTTATAAATAAAATAACACAATACCTTAGTTTGTTAGTATCAAACCAGTAATTTTGGGGACTTTATCATATTAAAAGCATACATATCACTATTATTATGATAAGAATTGTTATTTTAATGACCATGAAAAAGAATCCCGTTTTCATCCAATTTTAAACGGGTGTGCAGAAGCATTTTAAATACTTATATGAAAATAATTCAACATGATGCCTAAAATATGTAGGCTTTATTTTGCAAAAGTGGCATGAATCAACATAAAGCTGTAAACAAGTGAACATAGGTTTAAATTAAAATGGTGAAACCTTGATTTCCTAGTAAATTTATTTTATAGCATATATTGTGTTCAGTGGTAGTGTTTGACAAAAACGTTTTTTACTGATTAGAGAGTCGTAAATAAAATAAATATATTTTATAGTCTTACTTCATAAGTTGTATAGTGTGGATATTAAATGAATTTATAGAAACATTAGTCAGAGTACAAAATACCTTTGCCTCCAAAAAATTTATTTTTACAGCACAAATAATAGCTTACAAAAGTTATGTTGCAGTTTTGAATAATAACGGGTACTCACAAAAGTTTGTCTTCAAAAGGTATATCACCAATATTGTTGTGATTTATGATGCCTACTATACACAAACACTCTATAAATCATCCAAACTGTTATGGATTTTGATAATTACACGAACGTTTAATACCATTTTGACCTCACAAATGTAAAATGATAGTTTCTATCCTACCGCTCTTTTCGTGTCATAATACTAGTCAAAGTCCAAATCTATCTCAATTTGAAAAACACGGCCTGCTTCAAAGTTATGATGACAACGTAATGTTTAATAGTCTCAGGGCAGAAAAGAAGGTAAAATGTTAACAGAAAAAAGCAAGCAAAACTGTAGTGCATAGAAAACTAGCGAGTGCAATCGGAATGTATCTCGTTAAAATGAATTTACCATATAATTATTCATGTTTTGACCCTCAGTTGGCTGTCCTCTATAGAAACGTTGTCCATGTATTTGTTCTTTCATAACATTTTCTGGCACACTTCTGTAAAACACCTGCTGGATAAATTTCATCCAAATTTTAACGAATCAGTAGCAATATCAAAGTTTTATCGTGATCAATTAGCCAATTTATTAGCTAATCATATGATCTAACCAGGAACAAAGTACTATCAGGAACTAATATTCAATCCTCTTAAGTGGCCTACCTGTATAGCTACTTAGAACATACTTCTAAATGTTTAGGCGTAACTTACAATGTATACATCTGAAGTGCGTGTTCAAATAATTAAGATGACGATTCGAGCAATATATATTGACTTAAGTACTGTAAGAGACTACATGCAAACAATGCAGTCCGTCGATTTTAATTCATTGTACAAGTTATAAGCAAGGTTTATAGGATCAGACGTCCAATCGGCCAAGCAATAAAGTCTACCGTGTTTGAATTCAGAAAAAGGTCATTATTCACATACCCTCTAAAACGCTTGCAAGACTGATTTTCTTTTTACTGCACGTTCGATAAAGTTATTGAGTAAAGCAAATCATTTTCTTAAATTTATGGGTACTGATTTTAAACCTATAGGCTGATGTAACAATGAGTTGTATGTAAACAAATAATTTAGCATCAAATAAGGTAGCTTAGATCATAATTCATATTGAATAAGCAATAGAATCCAGACTCTGGATATTTCGAGATGTTTTGGTTTAAAATAAAATTATCATTATCTGTAAGTTTTATTCGCTTTGTTAGAGGGGGCAAAAATCTCACAAAACTTTTAAGCACTAACCACTAAGTCAGTATACAAGATCGAACAAGATACCATTCACTCCTTTATTTCTACGTTAGTCAAGAACACGATTAAATGCAATCACCACCAACAGACGTTTTCGGAAAAACAGTTCAAAAACGGTGTAATTAAACTTCTTTACTTCAAAAATCATGTCCAAATACATAATAGCGTACAAATATTCGTCATTTTATCCAATATAAAGATTTCTAATGTATCGTTTGTGTGCTCTGTTTTCTTCAACTACATAATACAAAAGACTATTGTCTTCAATTAGTCTGAGTGACTTTTAGTTCTGTTTATACTGCCTACTTGGACATCGAAACCACCAGCACGATTATTACATCTGATTATTTAGCTTATCGAAGTAGGATAAAAAGCCTTCCATAAAATTCGTCTTTTACCTAATCCGAATGTAATCAGTGAGCGACTAAACGAAGATAGCAAACAACCAACGTCGTGCGTCAATATCTTTCTGAATTCTCACTGTCCTGTTTGGTCGAACAAAGCACAAGCGACGGCCTATCAGAATCCATCCAGAAATAATTTGTTCGGCACTTTCACTTCATACTATAATTACTTCAAAGAGACGACGGAAAGTAACAATGAAGACCTCGAAGACACGAAGGATAAGTCGTGGTATCATACAAGAACAGACAAAGTGGATTTAAAAATTAAGGTGATAACTAGACGAATAAATGAGTTAAGTGCTTAAAGCATCTACGTGAAGGTTAACCAAATCTCAAAAACATTCTGTAAACTCAAAGCGAATTCTGTTTCTGAATTACGTTTTTAACAAACTCTGCGCCGTAACCGAAAATACGATAAATGGAAACAAAGTACATAAACTCCCAGTTCATCAGCTTAATATAAGCCCTAATTAAAGCTTCTGAGAATGTTGTGCAATTGTCAATGTTAATTCTTTAACAGGTACACAAACTGTGACACCTTACTATATTGCAGTTTCATGTGTTTATGAACAAAAAAGAGAACTGATTTAAATACCAAGGGTTTTCATAAGACACACTAAATAAACACTCAATTATCTGACGAGTGACCTAAAACCTTTCTAGGTAGCAACACTTATGTTAAAAAACTGAATTATTCGTTTATAAGGATTGCAAAACTCTGAAATTAAATTGTCTTAAATCACTGCAAACTGCCTTAGAATCCTTCGTGTTTAGAAACTCATTCAAACTGACAAAAATGAGGAGTGAGTTGAGTTTACATTATGCCGTTATTACAAGTTAAAAGTTTTATTTCATGAATATCAGATAAAAGCATCGATTACTTTGATAAACCCTAAAAACCAATGCAATGCAGATAATGTTTTCGTATGGACGAGTTACAATTAGCAGTATGTATTTTTAAGAATGAAGCCATCTTAAATCCTAGAAGCCAAAATTTACTGTCATATACAATGAAAGATAAAGAGCTAAAGTTCTTGACTTTCAGTCATATCGTATACTAATAACTCGCTCCTCTCAATTTAATTTAGTCAACCATGTTCTGACACAGATAGACGTGACTGTAAACTTGACGCACGAATCAAGATTCATATTATGAGCAAAATTCAAACTATTCATTTCCAAATCATGTGATGCTTAATTCCCTTATGATGGCTTTCCCAGAGAAGAGAACTAAGTGTTGAATAAATACCATGATGAATTTGAATAAAATTTCAAAATCTTGGTGCTGAAATCTTTCTGAGCAAAGTAAAGGGACTTTGCATTTTATGATTTACATGTTCGTTGAATGACAAAAGTGTAAAAAATGTAGTATACAATGTAATATGTAAAATGCTTTTCCTATAAAATAATCATGACTAAAACGTTTTGTCTGACTAGATAAACGGTTGTTCCCAGATTTAAAATGCTAGTGAGCACACAATAAACTGAAGCTTATCCAAATACATCTCTAAATCTGAGATAAAAAATAAAGTGCAGTCATAAGTATAAGCTTACTTTCATGCGGTCGTCAACAGGTTCCGAGTAATTGCGCAAGTTATTTTCTCCTTCTCTAATAAAAGAACTTCTAACGTTTTGTACCATATCGTCAGTCCTGTAAGGAATCTTTTTTTCTTTACGACAGCGTGGCATACTGAGTTACCACACGTCACTCTCGGATACTTAAAATAGAGTTATAACATCACTTGAGCTCAAGGTCACATTTTGGTACACTCAAACACAACAATAGATAAACCCTATAATGTTGTACTAATGGTAACACTATATCAGATACGACATGGCTGAAACAAAAGCCAAGATGATTTTTTTTAGCCTGACGAGATGCTTATTGAAAAACAGTTTAACAGTAGTTCTACGACGATTATATTTGATTCATTAGGAAGGAAATTTTTTTGCAAAATCTCAGTGAGGGAACTTTCATTAAACTCAACGCTTCAGTTGGCAGTCTGGCGCGAACTTTCAGAGGAAATCTGATCTAACATTAGACTAGTGTAATAACTTCCCAATCAAACGCTATGTAATGGATGAACTTACCTTTCATCAGATTTACGTACACATATCTACACAGTTATTTTAGCACACTTATTTCACATTTGATAATTCTGATGTTTTGTTGAATATGCATGGACCGGGGGCATCGAGAGTACTCCAATTCCAGTCTCAACTTATTGCAAATATAGTTTTTCCTAATTTTAACACTAACTAGTGGTTTCCAATTTTACCACTATTAGAAGAAAAGCTGACTACAGAGAGTGGACATTACCAACGTAGGTTTTCTGTGTCAATGGTTGAAGGCTTACTCGAGTGTAACGTTAACGATGTGAAATTCCAGCTTACGTGAAAATACCCCCACATCGTTAATTAAGTTGGATTACCCTTTCGTCATATCCACGTAATATGGCTGATGGCCATGCAACACGAATAACGTTATTACAGAAATATATCAATAAGAGTAGGTACAAGGAAAATAGTGAAGCCACTTTACTACCGACCGGTTCATGGTGTGCAATTTTTTGATGAACGTCGGTTGACCCTGATGGGGATCATTTAAATATTGAATATTAAACGGCAGGAATGACGAATCTTTTAGTTAGGTCCGATGAAATTTCTCTGACCATAGAAGAGTACAGACCGAAGATTGTGTATGTTGTGTTACCTAACTTACTGCAAGATCCATTTTGAAGGTTTTCTGTGTAAAAATACTTCTGTGCGTACAGTTGTAATTTGTTCCTATTGCCTTCTTCAGTTGTACACATTGTTAGTTTTTTTATTACATTTAAGATGTTAGTATTTGTATTTTGTCATGGTTTTTATTTTTCTTACGCTTTCACTGAGTTCCCGTGTTTCTTCCTGAACTGCGTTTATGTTATTTTAGTTGGTTCTCAGTCTTGGAGGCTGCCACATTGATATGAGTTGTTTGCATTGACTCGAATTGTGCATTTTTGATTGTGAATTGAAACACTCTTCCAGAATTGGCAACACTCTGTGTTATAAAGTAAACAAATACTATCTTTCAAATGAACCTGTACGTGACCAGTCCAGAAAAGATAAAACAACATTTATTTGTTGCGAATGGTTTGCATACTATTCGAACAATTATTGGTTGAATAACTGGGCGAACCGTCATTGACCCAATCACCTTGTTTTGGTTTCAACTGGGCAGTAGCGCGTATTTAAACTACCTAGACGGTTATTCTTCAGTCCAAAACTTAGTTTGGATTCCAAGGTTACTCAGTATTTGAAAATCACAACGATCATCACATACCTGACTTCCGTCCCTACTTTAAAAGCTAATAGCTTATTGAACAGAATTAAGATTTTAAGTAGAAGAGTTTGTGTTTGCCCAATACCTCAGTAGGGAGGTAATTTAACCTATCCATATCAAGTATTTTATCTGCGACATAACTAAATATTTACTGCCAAACCTCTGAATAGGCTGGGTAAAAGTACTCCTAGTTAAAGTACCTCTGGTCCGAAAAGTGTTTTAAAAAGTTAATCATTGAGATCATTATAAGTAACTAATCTCGCTTAGGCGGATTTCTTTGAATGCCATTCTATGGAACGATTTTGTTTAAAAAAGACGATATCTAGTATTTGGTCCGCTTTATCTGATAGATGATTGTACCAATACTGCTCACTGAGTGAGTAGTCATCCGACGACGATGCCTGACTGAGCGCCCTCATCTGGTAATGTCCAGTAAAATCAATAACGCGTGCAACAGTTTTGAAGAACTACGTAAATATTTATTTAAAGGGTACATGTTTAAAGCTACCATTCACATATCTGTTTCCGAAAATTGTTTATTATTAGTACATTTATCTTTGTTACCAAAATAACAGACCCAATCTCTAAATTGTAGATTTGTCATGATGTTACCAACTAATCCATAAGATCTTACGTGGAAGAAATACCATTACATTTACTGTCTCGGCCTATCGTGACTGTCGGCAATATGATGTTCAGAGCCCCTGAAGGACACATTTGGGCTTGAAATGTAATAATATAAATTTAATTTGGATAGAGATGAGTTGCACAGAACAACCACGCCTATAAGTCTGAACCACATCATACAGATCAGCTACTCCCATGCTTTTTAGTTTTGATCTTTTCTATGTGTTACATGTTGAAAGTAAACCTCTTCAGTAATTAAATGCTCGTCTTTAAAGATCATGTGGTTAGGAGCCGATATCTGTACACATCGATCACTATCATTCTCAGTACCTTTGTGTGGGATGTGACATAATACATTAGAATGATTAGCAGATTTTTAAAAATGTTTCTCAATATACACCCTCGCAATCCTCTACACCCGATACTGAATTGTGACATGAATGATAGTTTCAGTTATATGCAGTTTCAAAAGAATCTTAGATTACGTGCTTAAGATTCAGATCTATTTTTAGAAGAATGAAATGCTGTCCAGGACCACTGAAAAATATAAAATGACCAGAATCTAATTAACTTGCCCCGTCATACAACAAGATATGGCCAAATCTATTGCAACTTACTGGTTTCGGCAGTTGCTCTGACAACAATCTAGGCTTTCTGCCTTGAGAAAGTAGTCACATAAGTGCATTTGAGATCGTCATAAGCCTTGGACTAACTGACAACTGCAAAACGTCTATTTTCAAACTGATATGTGAACGACCCGACCGATTGCTAAATAAGAGGACTTTATCAGTTGACGTATATGTTCTTAGAGTAAAGGAGATCAACGATTTCTTGTTTTTTGTATCTTGCTTTGTTTTTGGCGTTCAGGAAAAACTGCACCAAAATATGGTCCATTTGAAGAGGAATCAATTCAAGAAAATAAAAAGGAATCGAAATCGATCTTAATGTTTCCATCTTATTTCCCTTATCACAGGTAGGTCAAAAAAGTTGGATTGAATATATGACCCAGCAATTCTCTTGGTTTTGCTTGCTTTTATTTTTCCCTGAATCTGTTAGCAACACTGTGATACGAGAACAGCTATTTAACGAATAAAGATCATCAGAAATAATGTCAACATATACGACGGATTCTTAGGGATAAATTTACAGATCGTTGCACTGCTTTGATAATTTAAACCAAGTTCTAATTTTATACTATTCCTTTTGCAAAATTGTTATCTACCGGCACAAAAAAGTAAAAACTCTGTGCCTGCCATGGCTTACGTTGTATAAACAAATTTGACTGACCACGGTTTTTGTTTTTACAGATTCGCGGGTCATCTACATTCATTCTCTAAGCAGATAGAAGAAAACTAGTGAAATAAGTCTATATGTATTTATAGTTGGAAGAAAATCCAACAGAAATGCACTTTATATGGAAGTATTTCTTCGTTTCTTTTTGTAAGTACCGTTTCTCTTATTGTCCTCTGTATTCGCGTACTTTAAATCAGACTTTTGTTTGTTTTCATGTTACTATAGTCTCTCCAGACTTCTGTGGTTTTCTTAGTACAGTTCCAATTTTCATGCGTGAACTGATCGCTCATGTACAATTTTCTGAGACTGAACCAAGTTCATTGTATGTTAGAAATACTCATTATATTATTATTCATGCATTTCTTCGATATTTTTTAGTTTACAGTTGACTGTCAACTTTTTAGGGACAAACTAAACTAAACTGTCTATTTTCGGGTAGCATCCTTTTTATTCATTAATAGCAATTACTTTATTATTGTAGCAAGTTGGTTTGATGGAGTGTTATGATAAATTTCTCCTGTAACTGATGAAAACGTACTGTTCTTGATTTGTCTTATTTCGTACTTGCATACCACTTTTATACATTTTTATGTTTTTAACTACGTTATTTCAAAAACGTTGTTGATCATAATCGTCTCTGTCTTCCATTTGGACTCGGGGTGGTGTCACTGAAAATGCATACAGCATAGACATTTTGAAATTTCTCGAATTCTGAACTTTGTGGCTACCTTTACATCCTAAAAGTAATAATGTAATTAGTAGAGCAAATACTCCTGTGCGTACAGCTTTCATACTGTCTATTATTTTGTTAATTAGAGTCAAATGTAAGCGTTAGCCAATATCACTTTATTACAGCCAGATGAAGAAAGCCATATAGAAACAACAATCGATCGACAGTTCTAGTACGCCAACCTTTTGGATAACACCTGTCGTTGTTGAAGTATTCCCGTTCAAATAGAGAATGGAACACATGTAGTCAACTTTTTAACTGCCAAACCAGAATTAGTACACGAACAATGACGCAGGAATCGGCTTATTCAACAACAACGAGAAAATCATTCATAGTTACAACAATATTGGCGACAATGTCATCTAAACCTGTCTAGATAATGTAGATCACCAACGCAGATGATCTATGTCGAATGATTGGAGGTCTACCCGAGTTAGACGGGATTGGTGTGACGAATCAACTAACGTTGAAGTCACGCCTCGTGGCGGGCAACTCACACGAACCACCCCACTGATGTATCAAAGTACCACAACTACTTTGAAGACTGTACAACACAGAGGATATTCAGTGATCCAACTGCCGGATGATTTGGCTAGGGCTCAGTGACATTTCACTGACCCTACAATAATAATAATTAGATCACGTACCAACCATACCTTTATTAGAAACATTCGCTGATTCTGAACCACTATCACCGGTTACAAAACCCAGACACAACGCAATTCACAAACAGATTCCTAAA